AATTTTAAATTCTTGGTATTTGAATTACTTTGATTTCAATTTCTATCATTCTTAAAATATTTTGTTTGGATGAGTCAATTCAAATTTCTTAAATTTTAAATTGTTAGGTTGAATATGATAATTTGATTCCATCATAGTAAAATTGATTTTAAAAATATATTTATATGTTGAGATTTTTAAATTAAATTTTATAAAAATAAATATTAATCCATTTTTAAATATTTAATAATTTTAAAAATTAATATTAGATAATATTTAATAATTTTAAAAATATTTTTGAATATCCAATAATTAAAAGAATGAAGAGATAAGATAAAATATATAGGTGAAATAAGAAAAACAAATATGAGGAATTTCAAATTCTCCCATTTTTGAGAGAATTTGGAATTCTACTATTTTAAGGAAATTTACAAATGCTTGGATTTCAAATTCTTTGTAAATTCCTCATCCAAATAAAACATTTCACCTCAAGGAATTTGAAATTCTTCAAATAAATGAATTACCCTATATAAATTCCTCATCCAAACACACCAAGGAACTTTAAAAAGGATCTTTATTGAGGAGTCATAGATTACAACATTTAAAAATAAACTTTAATTTTTGTTTATGTTTAATTATATAAGTGTTATAGATTATAATTTTAAAGTATAGTTTTTTTAATAATAATATAAGAAAATTTTCTTTTAAGTTAAGCATGATAGATTATTAATAATATTCTTTTAAATTATTTAATTAAATTTATTAAATTTGGTTTTTTTTAATCATTTAGAAATTTTAAAAACAACTAAAGTCTTATAATTGAAATCCATATAGCTAGCAACAAAGATTTAAGATCTAGCAAACAAATTCTTCAATACACAAAAATCTCCAAAAAAGACGAGTCTTTTCTAGTAAGTTAATTGGCACATAGATTTATTTTTTAAAAATTAATTTAGATAAGTATTAAAATAAAATCTTAATTTTTATTTTTGTTTTTTTTTTAATTCTTGATATTTGGCCGGCCAAAGACACAATTGCAACACTAAACATGTATACAGTTAATAAATAGATAAAAGAATCGTAAAATTTATTTATTAAACCGATACTAAATTATTATTTCACATGGCATGTGGTGTCCCGTGAAAGGCATCGATGACTTGAAAGAAGAAAACAAAAAACAGCGACTTTGAGCAACCAGGCTCAGGCAGTCAGGCTGGAGCTGGACCCAATCCTCCATAACTTTCTGCTCGTCTCGTGGAGGACAACACATCACTCACTCTTTCATTATATTAGTGCAAAAAAACATGCTCAATTCCCTGATATGTGTAATGGTTTTATTTTAAAGGATTTCTGACCAAGCATAGGCATTGTATATTTGAGCGAGAATGATATCACGATGATTAAAACATTAAATGATCGATGACCAAGTTCAGGTAACCGTTGAATCTCATTCATCATAAATAATATTCAGACCATCCACCATATCTATGCATGGATCAGCTTTCATTCAATTTTTTATTATTTTATCCATGAGGGGTCATATCAGGTTTGAATTTTTAATGAAGGTGAGACATGAGGCAACATTATTGGCCATGGATTTGAAAATAGCGCAAAAAGGATTTGTCTGTATGTAAGAAGTTGGCAGAGATAAATAAAAATAAAACAAAAGGAGAGAGAAATGAATAAAAAAAATAGCTAATTTTTTTAATAATTTATTCTTTGGATAAAAAATAATAAAAGTAAAAGAATTCTCTCAACTCTTGTCTAGACTCTGGAGCGTCTTCAATGAAATTATTATAAGTTCTTAAAATTAAAAACTTAAAAATATTATTAGAATAAATAGTTTTTATAATTAACTTATAACAAATATTTCTTCACTTATTTATTTCTTTATTTTTTATTCATCTAAGATTTAAAATTATTGTTATTGTCCATGTGAAACAAATAAATTTTAGTTTTGATTTCTAAAATAATTTTCTCTCATAAAAATTAAACTTATTATTTTTTATGTATTTAAAATAGATAAATAATATTTATTTAACTTTTTTATAAATATCACATGCTAACATGGTATATCACACATAATTATAATTATAAGTGTAATATGAAATATTCTATTAACTTTCTAATAAGTTAATAGATAATTATAAGTGTAGTTTCCATTTCAGTAAAAGGGTTTTAGAAATCCCTTGTACCTATTTATATTTATATATAATCTTTGTTTTGATTGTTAAAAAAAAATATTACATATAATAGTAGAAATTAAAAGTAATAATTCTAAATTTTAAAGAATAAAAATAAAAAAAAATTGAAGAAATAAAAAAAAAGTTATTCATTTAATATAACTGAGAATGTATTTAAATATTATTTTATTATTAAAATATATTTACTCGTGAATCGCGATGTGTGCGTAAATAAATAAGAAAAGTAAGAAAGTAAATGATATAAAGTCAAAAGGTAGGAAGGAGTTGCACCGGTAGTACTTATCTCCTTTCTATTGAAAAGGAACTTTGTAGAGTTTTTTTATTTTTCCTTGTAATGTGATGAGTACAAAAGTTTTTATATTATGAATTAATTATAAAATATTTTTAGTATAATTTTTAATATATTTATTACAAAGTTAATAAAATCTGTTATACATGATGATTTACTATTTGATAACAATGAAAATTCAATACATATGCTATAAATTCTTTTTGTTCTATATGTTCATTTATTATTTTCGTGTTTTAAATGTAAAATAAGGAATAATTTATTATTTAACTTCTAGCTTTAACACTAAGTATAATTGGTAGATAATTTTGTTTCTAGTTAAGTATGTGATGAGTGTTTCAGATATTTTTTAGTTCGTATATATATAAAGTATATTTATTAAAAGAGACTTTAATTCTTAAATAGATTTTAATAACTCAAAAGATTGATTCTTACTAGTTTTTGAATACGAATGCCTTGGTTTACTAATCTTTTTTAATAATTATCCTTTGTTTGTTTGAGGGGAAAATATAAAGAAATAAAGAGAAAAGAAATATGATAAGGATACTAATTAATTTATTCGATGAGGGAAATGGAAAGAAATAAAGTTATTTCTACATGATCTATATAAAAAAATCCCCAGAAGGGAAATTATTTCTCTCGTTTCTTTTTATTTAATTTTATAAAAAATAATAAATGATTTTATATTAAGAAAAATATTATATTAAAAATTAAATTTTTTAATTATTATAAATATTTTTATATAACTCATATATCTATTTATTTTCTCTTTTTCATTCATCCAAACAAGTGAATAGAAATTTTCTCATTTTCTTTTTTTGTAATCCAACTTCATCTAAACAACGTAACTTTTCCATTCCATTTCAATATATTCTCTATCATTCTTATTTTATTTCTTACTATTTTCATAGACGACATTATTTTCTCGCCTAACTTGATAGCACCAAATATAAGGGTAGGTTTCGACACTGGCAATTACAATTCTTTTCATCATGAAAATCCATGATAACATGTTTTATTTAGCATATGTTGAAAAGGTCAATTTTCAAAAGCAGCAAACTCAATCTTTTGCACTTTTCATATTTTGACGTGAAAATTTCCATACATGATACACATGCACCAATGCACGTTTTCGATGTGCAAGTAAATATGCACTAATAAAATCGAATTTTAGTTTTTTTATACTGGAAATACCTCTCCCATAGATGAAGTTTGAAGCCCCATGAAATACTTGATAGCTCTCGGATCAAATTGTAGAGACACAGTTTAGTTAATTAAGAAACGCAAGCGAGAGCCGTAACAATCGCTTTCTGTGAAGAACATCATGGAATTTCGCCTCTCACGGAATATCATCTTTTTTGCATTCTCGTTCAGGTTGTCACGATATCATGTTCTACAAACGTAAACAAGAATCATGTTAATAATCGTAGTTGAGTCGCATGTTCTGGGATTGTGTTTCCCAATAATACGGTAACACAATCTTCTGAGATCTCAAGCCCCTCTCACGTAACCTCTCTTTTGCTGGCAACGTTTCCCGCCATTAATTGTAACTTCAACCATTCCTTGTAATTAATCGTTTCTTGCTATTTTTGCATTTCTAAGATTGCTCCACACCACACCGACATTTATTAACTAGAAGCCTTATATATATATATATATCCTGCAGATTCACTGCATTTGTCTGAGTATATAGATATATATCTAAAATGCATTTATAATACCCAAGGTGCACTTTCGTTCTTCCATAGATAAACCAATTATATTTTCACCAGTATCTGCAATATTAATGTAACTTTTTTTCTTTCTTTCTCCTGTTTCTATAATACATACATTTAATTTTCTCATCCATCTTATTTTCATTTTATCTTCTTTCTATTTCTTTTTCGCTTTTTTTTTTTTTTCTATCACATCAAATATCACTTTTATTACTTTTTCTCTTTATTTTCCCCTTCCCATATCTCTTTTGTATATTTTACCTTAAAATTGGATGGATGAATATGACGACCCTATGGATTGTTTCTAGGTCTTGCCATGCATGTATGTCTCCGTTAAAATATGATATGATCTTGGTGAATATCTTAGGAACAAAGATGCTACTAATGTTGCTTCAACATTAATTATAGTTTACTTTGAAGATATACAAGGGAATATGAACGGAGACAGTTGGTTGGTTGAACGTGACATACAATTCAATTTTGTAGGGTAGAAAAAAACTGAGAGAATTCCGTAACATTTTTCTTGGCATATGTAGCTAAAAGAAGTTGGACTTAAATGAATAAATAATATCGATCTTGGAGGAAAATAAAAAAAGAAAAGTGATTTGATAATTTCACACAACCATAAGCTGTGGATAACCCAAGGGCGGGTGAGGAGATAACGGCGACAAGGGGGGGACGTTGAAGATTCCGTTTACATCAGTGGCCCAGAGCCCTAACCAGGAAGACGGCGTTAACGGAGTATCCTTAATACGGCTAACGTCAGATTCCTCTATCTTTTCCCTCTTGACGACTTCCACCGCCTTCTCCTCCTCTTCCCGAGGGCGTTTCCGGTCATGGGCGCCGGCTTCGAGGGGGAAGTTGAGGATGGCTTTGGAGCCGCGAAGCTTGAAGGCGGCTCGGTCGTAGGCTTTGGCGGCTTCGATGGCCGTTTCGAAGGTCCCGAGCCACACCCTGGAGCCGCGCTTGTTGGGGTCCCGGATCTCCGCCGCGTACTTCCCCCACGGCCGCTGCCGCACTCCTCTGTAGTGCTTCTTCTCTTCCACCTTTTCCGCAACCTCGGCCTCCCCGAATTGGATCCACTCGGTCTTCCTCGGGAGAGAGATTTGCAGCGAGGGCTTTCGGCTCGCTTGAGGTTTCTTGGCGTCGTGAGTTGTCGGAAACGTGAATTCCAACGGCGATGTTTGGGTTTGGGTTTGGCATAGGGGAAAGTGGTTTTGTGTGGAAGTGGTTGGGAAGTTAAGGAAGATTTGATCCAGCGTTAGGGATGAGTCGGAAGAGTTGTCGTTGCTTTGGGTGAGTGAAAGGGGAGAGAGTTCTCCCAGAAGATGCAGTTTTATGGTTTTGAGAGCAGAAATTTCATCTGCGCTTGCCATCACTGTAATATTGGAAGGTGCGTGAATAAGAGAGTGGAATATATAGAGTGGAAAAGGTGCCTACAATGATTGACCCACGAACCTTCCACTTACCTTCTCTACTCTCTAATTTTCTTCAATCCGTTTCTATTACCCCCACCCAATTCACTAAAACCAAACCCTCAGTCAACCACATTTTCTTTGACTTTTCATGCCCAATACCCATTCTTTTCTTAATAAATGTTTTTTCTTTAATTAAATCATATATAAATAGTACATAATTATTTTCCTCTATGTGAAATTTGCATTTTTGTTTACTCCTTAATTTAACATAACTATTGTTTCTTGAAGATAAAACAAAAATAATGAATTTCTAATAGCATGTTTAAAGAATTATTTATGATCTACTAATTGTATGAGAACTTATTAATATAAAATGTTTAGTTTTGAAAGACATAAAACTATCCATATTGTGGGTTAAGGCTTTGAGCTATTTTATTAACATTGGTGAAATTGCACACATCCAACTTTTTTTATTACTATAACTTGTCTAATAGAAAAGAGAGGAATAGAAGAGAGAAAATAGCATTATATTATATTATATAAAAATAATATAACTCTTAATATTAATTTGATATCCATATTATTAAAAAAAAGTTTGATATTCATATTAATGATTAAATGGCAGTCATGGACTCATGGGGGGAGGAACAATTTCTAGAAGGGTCATGTACAATGAACAACGATCATGGCTGATTTGGATCCTGTTGCTTTCTACCATTATTTTATTTTACATTGAGTTATTTTAACTTCCTCGGAACATTGACACCTAATGTTTCGAGTTTGGGTTTACCTGCAATATATAAAGCATGAAGAAATGGTCTCCGAATATTGTATTGTTTTGAGTCTTTTGACCCTGTCATTTTGGAATAAACATTCAGAAGTTATTCCATCCGTGTTACAACATCGTTCCGTTATTTAAATTTATTTTATTTTAAATTGCTTATAATTGTAAATAGAGAATAAAGTCACGATCGAACGTTGTCAGTACAATGATAGTTTAGCAATTATGTTTCTTAATACCAACATTCATTAACCAAAGTAATAGTGTGTTTGTTAATTAAGTTATTTAAAATTTGAATTCTAATCTTGATTCTGAAATAAATTATATTAGAAAAAAAATATTTATTTTATCTACGTTTACAGTTTCTGCATTCATAGTTTCTGACAAAAATTAATCAATAATTTTGATAGTAAATATTTTATATCAATACAATAATTATTAAAAAAAATTGAATTTGGTTACTTATAAAAAAATATATATTGTGCATAAGCTTGAGATTAATTAATTAAGGCCACACATTAACAACTAATATTATTATTGTTTCACTTATCCAAACAGTGCGGTAGAAATATTTGCCCAAAAAATGCTCAAACCAATATTTGTCTTAGTACATGTTTTAGTATCATGTTAGATTCTTCATAATCACATTTAAATACTCGTTAACATGATTTTAGGTAGATTTTCATGTATTCAGTTTCATATTGAAGAACTCATTAAATCTCTAGATTTGATTATAATTGAAGTAATTTTAGGTAATTTTTGCATTGGATAATTTTTTTTTTTGTACTAGATCTCACTACAAACTTGTTTTTATTTATTTACTAAAAATATATATCCACACACAAATCACACCACTTCAAAATTAATGTTAACTAAAATCAATTTCATTCAAAATTATTTTTTTCAAATTTCATCCAAACACACAGTGTGAAAGTAGATAGTGTAATTTGATATTACTTGTTTATTCATAGTGTTCCAATGAAGGTGAGGGAAGCATAATTTTCATAACCAACAGTGGGAGGTGAGGAACTGTAATAGAAAAGTATTCTGAAACCCTTTGTCTGAGATGCGTCACCACGACGCAAGGGATTCCTTGAATAATCACAAATAACATTCTAACGTTTATAGAGACATTAAAAATCCAATTGGTGAGAGAGGGTCGTGTTATGTCATGTCCATGTCTTTCGCATATTGGGCCGGCCCAAATAGAATGCGCAGATCTAGGATTGTTAATCAGATTCGGAACAATCGAACAAATAATTTTTTTTTTAATCTTATTTGCTTTGTGTGATATGTATTTTTGTTTTACTTTCATTCACTATTTTAATTACTTTATCTTTTGTAATTATTTATTGATTTTTTTTCTCTTCTCGTTGAAGAACTATAAAGTTTCTCATTGAACAAATAAAGACAAGTAATAGTTACACAAGAGTATGGAGAAATTGAGTCCAATTGGTTTGAAATTTAAATCTTTTAAACTGTATATCTCATATGCTCGATTCAAATATAGTTACGGACTACAAAAGAGTAACAGACAATAGTAGATTACAAGGACTACTACTAACGTAGCATAGTATCAAAGTATATGCAGTGAATCAATCACTTGTAATCAAGGTTGATTTTATATTACCTTCTTTTTAATCAGATTCAATTACAAGGATAAAGATCAGAGTTGGTAATGTAATTGAAATTTCGTTTTTCTCAAATATTTAAAAGACATTTAAACAAGAAATCAGCAAGATTCTTTAAAGATAAGGGTAAGAAGATAAAGAACACATAAATTTATACTGGTTCATGTCGCCACCCGCCGAAACGGACACTGGCATTCGCGACGATGGTTGGACTCTTTTTAAGTTTTGAAAGATGATGGATTGTTAGAACGACTTATTCTCAAACTGAGACCTCATCGAGCTAACAATTTTGTTTAAATGACTCTCACCAATCCATGTTAATCCCAAGCGGGACCCTCCATGGATTAGTGGTTTTCGCAAAAAGAAGGGGTTCTTGGAGTCGCCACCAATGTTTTACTCAAAACATTGGAAAAAGATATAAGGCAATTGATTTTCGCAAATCAACTTCGGCCATTACAACCAGAGTTGGGTAAGGGAGTCATTGGTGGCGACTCCATGAACCCTTCCTTTTTATGAAAACCGCTAATCCATGGAGGGTCCCGCTTGGGATTAACATGGATTGGTGAGCCTTTTAATAAAATTGCTCGTTTGACGAGGTCTCAGTTTGAGAATAAGTCATTCTAGCAATCCATATTTTTAAACAAATAAAAGAGTCCATCCAGCCTTCGCGAATGCCGAAAGCCCGTTTCGGGCCGGTGGCGACAATCACTTGTGAGTTGATGAAGAATTCCCTTGAGATGACGAGTAGAAAGGTGTTTTGTTCGAGAGGGATCATGACTTGGGATCTCGTCTTTCTCTGTTTGAGGATTCTAGAGGAGTTGTTGGTGGTGTCCTTTATTCTTGATTAAAAAGGATCATGGCTGAGGATCCTGCCTTCCTCTGTTGGGAAGGTAATGGCAAATGGTGCCTATTGGTGATGTGCCTGAGTATCGTTTGCCAAAGCCTCTTCAAGCTTGATCTGAGCTTTCTTGGAATGTTAGAATGCTTTCTTGGTTGAATCTTGTGCCTCCGCGGGTCTTTGAGTTCCTGGGTACATGGGATTTTCGTGAAGGTTCTTGCCCATTTGCTTGTCCTTGTAGTTGAGGCCCCCCGTTGAGGATTTCTAGGGGTGAATTTTATTTCTAGCTTTGGCTTTTTATCGTACAGAAGCTTGGCCTTTATATTGTATTCCCCCTTTTTTCGGCTTATTCTACTTTGGCATTTTCTTGAAATGGAAAGTAAATAGAAGCAAAAATATGAGGAACTAGAAATTCATTAATTCAAAGATTTTTGCGTACAAAGTAAAATAGAAAAGCAAATAAAGGGCCCTAATCCTCAACTGGGGAATCAAGGAAATAACACTGTGGCCATCCCATCATTTGCTCTGTCTACTCCAATTACCGGTAGATCCCAGCCTCTAAGTTAATGAATCGACGACCAATGCTCTGTCTCATTTGGTCGAGGCGAGCGTCGGTGGCTAGCTTCCACCGCTCCATCCGTTGGCGGAGGCTCTATATCCCTCCCTAAATCTACGATGGCCCTGGCTGCTCTTCCTAGTGTGTTGGCTCATCCTCGAATAGGTCCTTAATGTTGGTCATAGTATACTAGAATCTAGAAGCGGGGTTGAATAGATTCTATCCTAAGATAACAATCTTATACGCAATTCTTGAAAAATAACCTATCAAGAAAACTAAAATGCAACCTTTATGCAATTTGAGTAACAGACAATAGTAGATTACAAGGACTACTACTAACGTAGCATAGTATCAAAGTATATGCAGTGAATCAATCACTTGTAATCAAGGTTGATTTTATATTACCTTCTTTTTAATCAGATTCAATTACAAGGATAAAGATCAGAGTTGGTAATGTAATTGAAATTTCGTTTTTCTCAAGGGGGGGGGAATGCCGAAAGCCCGTTTCGGGCCGGTGGCGACAATCACTTGTGAGTTGATGAAGAATTCCCTTGAGATGACGAGTAGAAAGGTGTTTTGTTCGAGAGGGATCATGACTTGGGATCTCGTCTTTCTCTGTTTGAGGATTCTAGAGGAGTTGTTGGTGGTGTCCTTTATTCTTGATTAAAAAGGATCATGGCTGAGGATCCTGCCTTCCTCTGTTGGGAAGGTAATGGCAAATGGTGCCTATTGGTGATGTGCCTGAGTATCGTTTGCCAAAGCCTCTTCAAGCTTGATCTGAGCTTTCTTGGAATGTTAGAATGCTTTCTTGGTTGAATCTTGTGCCTCCGCGGGTCTTTGAGTTCCTGGGTACATGGGATTTTCGTGAAGGTTCTTGCCCATTTGCTTGTCCTTGTAGTTGAGGCCCCCCGTTGAGGATTTCTAGGGGTGAATTTTATTTCTAGCTTTGGCTTTTTATCGTACAGAAGCTTGGCCTTTATATTGTATTCCCCCTTTTTTCGGCTTATTCTACTTTGGCATTTTCTTGAAATGGAAAGTAAATAGAAGCAAAAATATGAGGAACTAGAAATTCATTAATTCAAAGATTTTTGCGTACAAAGTAAAATAGAAAAGCAAATAAAGGGCCCTAATCCTCAACTGGGGAATCAAGGAAATAACACTGTGGCCATCCCA